ATGGCACCCTCTTCTTCAACTTCATCAAAAGTAAGTCTAAAGCTTTTGATTTTCTATTTGCGGAAGCCAACAAAGAATTTGTGGATTTCCTGTTCCAAATCCTTTCTCTCCCTGTTGGTACTGTCATCAGGCTTTTGAAGAAGAATTCAATGGTGGGTTCATTGGGAAACCTCTACGACAGCGTCGAAAACTTAAACGATACTTATATGCAGCCAGATCGAAACAAAGACAGTATATTGAACCCCAAGATTGCCAACTCTGGGGATCGTGTTCCATTATTGCTATCTAATGATGATGACGTTCCCGTGGCTAAGAAGTTTTACAAGTGTAATCAGTATCATTTTTATGTAGCCGAAGATCCTACTGCTGTCTGTCCTGAGTGCAATGGTCGTATGAATACCGTCCTCCCCTTCGTGGCTGGTGCTGCAGCGAAGTTGACGGCAGAGGGTGGTGGTTTCGTGAAGGGAGTGGTTACTTACATGGTTATGGATGATCTGGTGGTGAAKCCTATGTCCACCATATCTAGCATCACCATGYTSARCARGTTCAATGTGAAAGAAGTTGGTGGTCTTKAGGAAAAGGTGGTTTCTTTGGAAATGAAAGAGGTATATATGCTATCTTGTATTCTGTTGTTWTCTTTCYCATAAAAGGRGCATGGATTCATCCATTAATACACTTGTTAATTTGTTACTTGCGTGATCTTTGTAGGGTCTGATGTTGCTGAGGGCGTCCATGCAGTGCAAGAATGTGCTTACCACTGTGTTTCTTGCTTAAGGTGCTGTGCTGCTTGAATAATGATCACGAAACTTATAATGGAATTTTTGTTTTGTTTTAAAGAATCAGCATGTTGCAGGGTTTATGCTTTTGGCAATGTTATGCTTTTTGTTTTAATAGTTGAAATTGATACAACCTACGAATCTAACGTAGATGAACTCTAAAACTAAGATGTCGTTTATCAAATGCTTACCTGGTAAGTTAAAATTTAATATTACTATTTACTTTCCGGCTAAGATTTTAGTCCACTAAAACGACATCGCATGTAATAATTTATCTGGTAAGCGTTTACCATGGTAAGATTCTTGGTCCTTAACAATTTATCGCATGGGTAAGACTCTTGATCCTTGTCTCGTTTTTATAGGTAAGATTATTGGTCCTTACCATATTCATCCAGTGGGGTAACATGACTTGGTGAGCGCTTACCCAGGTAAGCGTTTGGTAAACGGCCCCTAAAAAAAACTGCTAATATTAATTTTGTAAAGAGTTAAATGCAAATTTGTTTCTATGGTTTATATAAATTAACGAGCAAGGTTCTTAAAAAGAATTATTAACGAATGATATTCCTATTTAAGGTTCCATCTGAAAGGTGCAATTTTATCTATTAATTCAACTTTTTCTCCCTCAACTTTCATTTTCAATAACAAAATTGCCCCTCAAACTACTTTTTATTTTTATAATATAATTTAAGTAATCTTTACAAGAAACATGGAATCAATCATCATTGATTTTATCTCTTTGTAGATCAAGAAAAATAATGTTCAATCCGAAAAGATATGGATTTGAAAGAACCAACCAATAATATCTTGTTGCGAAGGCGAAGGTGAAGGTGAAGGTGGTGGCTCGTGCTACTGATTAATTTGTTCATTGTATTTTGTGACTGTTTTATCGATTTGTTTCGTGTTATTGCGTCTTTTTGGTATTATTACAGGAAAAAAAGACTGTATTATCATCTTTAACGATTTGTTTCCTGTTAGTACCATCTTCCGGGTATCATTACAGGAAAAAGAGAGGCTATATATAGTAATATATTGAAACTCGAATTTCAGTTTTAACGCTTAAAAATAGTGGACTACAAAAATCTAAATGTAAATCGTTGAAATTGAAACTAATTTGTTAGTGGATCCCATGACACTACTTGATTCAACATAGTGTATATTTTCTTTAAGTTGTGGCATTTTTTCCATTGTGTGAAACCATAAAGATTAAGGAGCCGTTTACTAACTCTTAACTGGTAAGTACTTATCGGGTACTTTTCTTTATACATAACAAGGGTCAAAAATTTTACTCGGTAAGAGCAATGATAAAGATGGAGACTCTTATTCGGTAAGTGAGGGTGCCGACTCTTACTCGGGTAAGTGGTTACCGGGTAAATTGTTGCATACAATCTTACCCGGTAAAATAAATTATAGTGTTGATTTCTAACGGTAAGTGCTTACTGGATAAACATTTAGGTAAACAACCCCTAAGTCTAGGGGTGCTCATAGGTTGGGTTGATCGGGTTGAAGACATTTTAACAACCAACCCAATGTTTGCGGTTTGAAAAATCTTAACCCAACCCAAACGAAAGTGCAACCCAACCCAACCCAAACCGTAAGGGTTGATACTTTGTTACATTAAAATATTTTTCTAACCTTAAACATGTTACTTCTCTGCTCATAATTTCTTTTTCATCATCCTCCATTTGATAAAACTTATCCATACTTCTTACGTATATCACATTCAGTTAGTTTTCTCAATTTACGTATATATGTTTACAATTACCGAACATATATACGAATGAGTTATATAGAGATGTGTATATGAATAGTGTCCATGATAGTGTAATTGTCTAGTGTATATATTAATAGAAATTCAACAACCGTATTAAATCCATGAAATAAATAGATATCGGGTTCATCGGGTTGGGTTGGGTTCAAATAATAGTAACCTAATATCTACGGTTTGAAAATTTTACAACTCGATTAGACATCGGGTTGCTTCGAGTTGAGTTATTTCACGTTGAGTTGAGTTTGGTTGATCAGGTTTTTGAGCACCCTACCTAAGTCGCAATCCTCTATTGCTCCTACAACCTCCCTTCAGTGCTCCTTTGATTGATTCAACATGAGGTAATTTAACAACCTAACCTTATCTCTTCTATTGATATTTATTTCTGATTGTACTTGGGTGTTAATTTCTTAACTCAAAGAGTTACATCTAACTGGCTATGAATGTTTTAACGTAAAAGAAAACCTAAATCAAGTATATCGTTTTCAAACCTTACGTCATTCAAATTCCTTGCGTACAACGGAATCGCTCCCTCACCACTTCTCGTCCCCCATCGTTGTTCGTTCTTCATACCGTTCACCGCGGCCGTTAACCTCTGTCATCGATCTCCATTTTTTTTATGTTTTTCTTGTTTTTTGATTCTACGTACGTATAGTCTATAGACATAAAAAATTGGAAAATCAAAATACATAAAAAAGATCAAAAAGAGGGGATCGATGGCAGTAGCTAATTGTAGTCATGGTTGGTGCAAAAAATAATGAGACAACAAGGGGTTTGAATAACGTACCAAAAGAAATAGGGTTTTAGCAACGACTTTTGTAGTCGCTAAAAAAGTCAATTTATCGTCAGAAACAATTTGTAGACGGGACATGTCGTCACTATATCTTTTTGCTGAAGGATATTGTTGCTAGAAGTTCGTCGTTGAAGCTCACTTTTTTGGTACGTGGGGTTTGAGAACGGTAAAATTGATTTAAGTTTTTTTACTTGAAAACGTTCCTATCCGGTTTCAGGTAGTTTTTTAGGTTAGAAGCAGTGGCGGATGCACCTTAAGGGGGTAGGGGGCCTGGGCCCCCAACAACATTTTAACAGCAAAGCCCAAAAAAAAAATATTTACTTGTATTTTTAATTAACTCTTCTTTGGGCCCCCTACAATATGAGGCAAGAGGCCCCTCTCTAACCTGCACGAACGACTCGTTTTCTTCTTCATCGTTGCGATAGCCGATAGACGGACAGAGGACTGAGGAGAGGACAGACGGACGACTGGACTGGACGAGTGACGACGTCGACGGCGCAGGCGTGCTGCACTGCTGCCGTGCTGCGACCTGCGAGAGTGAGACAGACAGCGACTCAGCGAGAGAGGAGAGTGACCGAACCGACCTGTCACCTGCGGATCGACGAAGGAAGGAACCCTAGTCGGACTGACCGAGAGGCGAGACCGATTGTGCTGGCTGCTTGCTGACTGCTGTGCCTCTTGGTAAATATTCTAAATTTCTAATTTCCATCTTCAAGTTTTCAATTAGTAGTATTTTAGGTTAATTTTGTGGTAATTGGTAAATGCTTTAGGTTAGGTATTTATTTTAAGTTAATTTTGTGGTAATTGGTAATTGGTAAATGCTTTAGGTTAGGTATTTATTTTAGGTTAATTTTGTGGTAATTGATAAATGTTTTAGGTTAGGTATTTATTTTAGGTTAATTTTGTTGGTTAATTTTGTTGTAATTGGTAAATGCTTTAGGTTAGTTATGTATTTTAGGTTAATTTTGTTGGTTAATTTTGTGGGTAATTTTGTAGGCAATTAGACAAATCAAATGGAAATGTCAAATTTTAGGTTAATTTTGTAGACAAATAAAAATGTTACTAAAATGTTACTCAACCGCATTAGTTATCTTTATTCGGTTAACCGAACAGTTTAAATCTGAAAATGGAAACCCAAAACCTTTTTTGGTTCGGACGAATTGTTCGGTTTCGAAAAATTTTCGACCCTCCTAAGTGTGCCCCCAACCATAATAGTTTCTAGATCCGCCACTGGTTAGAAGTTCATCCGAAACTACAAATGGTTGATAGCTTCGATCAAGACCTTTTAGATTATTTATAGAAATGGTTCATATCTAAATCTTAATCTGTATATAACCCTGTTTTACTTGTCGCTGGTTTATAAGAGTTCTAAATCGATAGTCGATTTATATATGTAGCTTACAGCATCTTGAAGTCGTCGTTGACCGCCATTAATGGTGGTATTTTGAAATTTGAAAGTCTTGAAATGAGGCAATTTTGATTCCCATTTTGAATGAAATTCGGATAGTATTATGTTTAGATTAATAGGAAAAGCTTAGAACTTTTAATTTTGAATGATCAAGTTGTTAAACTTAAATTTTTTTCTTTAAGGCTATGTTTGGCTGCTGCTAGTTCAGGATATGGGAAGCTAGAAAAATGTAAGGAAAGATTTCTGGCATCACAGCAGGAATGCACCTGGGACAAGCGAAGGGCGTGCTGAACCACCATATTTTGACATGAAATGAAAGAAGTTATTAACGATGTTCGCACTCAAAATGAGCCTGTCAGACGACACTCATATCAAGGTACAACTCTTGCTTTGAAAATCATTCACTTGATATCTATCGTATGAATTCTAGTGGAAATGCCGCAAAAAGGGTCTCTTTTTCTTTATAACTTTGAATGGTTACAATTTCTATTGGTTTTTTTATATCTAGTGGTGTACATGCAGGTCGTGAAGCAAGATGAAGAATCTTCAGAATTCCTTCCGCTGCCGAGTACTTTGTAGGACGAAGTTAATCAGAGGTCCTGCAATCTTCCATAATATTCCAGTGAAAGATGCTGAAAAATACATGAAGGTACCGAGGCCATGCCTTTTCTGATAAGGGCTGATTGCAACAAATTCCTTCTTGGAATTCTCCAGAAAACGGTGTGACGTTTTGCATTCAGCAAAGTTCGAAGCCGGAAGGGTTGTTTGTCCATTGTTATTATCACATGTACAGCGTATTCGTTTCGGTGTACAAAATCATCTAGTTTGTGTTATTATTGAAGGAAGTTTTAGATTCATGCATGGTTAGACTTTTCTTTTCCTGCAGAACGTTGGATTGCAATGTTTTGGTTGGGTTTTGTGCATACTGCATACTGCATACTGCATACTGATGGGAATCGCTTTATATTGATTTGTAAGAGTCAAAAAATAATTTTATGTTACAGTAATTCCAAAAGATCCCAGAATTTATGACCCATAAATTTGGATATAAATGATCTAAACGATTTCTTTTCATATTCCTAATTTAAATTCTCTACGCATCATCCAAGTATATAAAGAAAGATCCAATCTTTACATGTTTTATGTCAAGAAGCAAAAATGGCACCCTCTTCGTCAACTTCATCTAAGGTAAGTATAAAGCTTTTGATTGATAAAAAAGCCAAGAAAGTTCTATTTGCGGAAGCCAACAAAGAATTTGTGGATTTCCTGTTCCACATCTTTTCTCTCCCTGTTGGTACTGTCATCAGGCTTTTGAAAAAGAATTCAATGGTGGGTTCATTGGGAAACCTCTACGACAGCATCGAAAACTTGAACGATACTTATATGCAGCCAAATCGAAACAAAGACAGTATTTTGAACCCCAAGATTGCCAACTATGGGGATCCTGTTCCATTATTGCTATCTAATGATGATGATGATGCTCCCGTGGCTAAGACGTTTTACAATTGTATTAATCATCATTCATATGTAGCCGAAGATCCTACTGCTGTGTGTCCTCAGTGCAATGGTCGTATGAATGCTGTCGTCTCCTTTGTGGCTGGTGCTGGTGCAGCGAAGTTGACGGCAGAGGGTGGTGGTTTTGTGAAGGGAGTGGTTACTTACATGGTTATGGATGATCTGGTGGTGAAKCCTATGTCCACCATATCTAGCATCACCATGCTCAACAAGTTCAATGTGAAAGAAGTTGGTGGTCTTGAGGAAAAGGTGGTTTCTTTGGAAATGAAAGAGGTATATATGCTATCTTGTATTCTGTTGTTHTCTTTCYCATAAAAGGRGCATGGATTCATCCATTAATACACTTGTTAATTTGTTACTTGCGTGATCTTTGTAGGGTCTGATGTTGCTGAGGGCGTCCATGCAGTGCAAGAATGTGCTWACCACTGTGTTTCTTGCTTAACTTGTTATGCTGCTTGAATAATGATCACGAAACTTATAATGGATTTTTTGTTTTGTTTTAAAGAATCAGCATGTTGCAGGGTTTATGCTTTTGGCAATGTTATGCTTTTTGTTTATATCATGAATATTGTTCTTAATTCCAAATCTTGTTTAAGGTGATGTCTGTTCCACCAGCAATTAGTTTAGCATTAGTTTTATCTCTTTGTTGAGGAAGTAATTAATGTTCATTCCGAAAACGAAAAGATATGGATTTGAAAGAACCAACCAAGAATATCTTGTTGATTTTGTTCATTGAATTCTATGATTGTTTTATCATCATTAGTGATTTGCAGGGTCGTCCCTGAGCGAGGGCGGCACAGACACACGTCCAGGGCTCAAAAATATAAGGGCTCAAAAATATAAGGGCCTAAAATTTTCCTTTAAAGTATAATAATAGTTTAAATTTTTTTAATAAATTAAGGAAAACCAAAAAATTCTAGCATGTAATAAGAAGCAAAAAAAATTTAGTAGATAATAAGGGCTTAAAAATATATCAACTAATTAAATTGGAGAATAAAATAAAAAAAATTAATTGGTCATTCATTATATACTATTGTTTATTGTCTCGCTAATTTATTTTATCTTCAACAAGGTCTAATTATATTGGCTATTGCTATCTTTATATGCTTGACTGTTTTCGTGCTTCAACAATTTAACGTTGAGATCATATGTTTGCTATTGTTATATATTTTTGTTAGATATTTTGTATCAATTTTTGCTTCTATTGACTATTATTATTTGGTTATCTTGTTCTAATTGTTTTTCTTGACTATTGTTATCTATTTTTGCTTCTACATAAAATATATTACTATTGTTTGACAATCAATTTATTGTTCTTATAACTTATGACGTGTTTCATAATTTTGTAATTAAGCAATAAATTTTTTCTACTAGATGTATTTAATAATGTCTCTTATATATGTTATGTTCCATAAACTTTTAATCTTAACATCTTATTTTAGTTGAGCAAAAACAGAAGAAAAAATAAAATTTAAATATTTTCATTAATTGTTTGACTTATATATCTTTCATTGGGATTCCACCATACCACAAGATTATATTTAAGTGCTCAAACAATCATTTGTTGAGCGTGCATATTATATGTTCAATTCATTATTTATTTTTATTGGATCTCAATGGATCATCTTTTCTTTCATATTCTTATTGATCTTCATCTATCTATTTGTCTAGAAAACCTTGATAATCTTCTTTATTATTGATCTCTCATTGACCTTCACAATTACTTCATTCACACGTATTGTCTCTTTATATCAAAATATCACATTTCTTGTTATGAAATAAAAAAAATTCTTACTTTAAAAAAAAAAAAATATCAACCATAGTTTCTATACTCTTGGTTTCAAATTACCTAATAAGAAGTACGTAAATTTAAGTACTCTCTCATATATCTATAATAAAGATAAAAAAGATTATTTCCTCGGTAAATTATTAGCATTTCTAGTACTCAATTTTATACTAATAATAAACAATTATTGAATTTTTTTTCGTACTTACCGGAGGGTCACTACAAGAAAAGTGAGCTTTGACGATGCGTCTTTTAGCGATAACATGTTTTCCCCCACAAGTTATAACGACAACATGTTGTTATATACTCTTTCTGATGACAAATGGACTTTTAATGACGACAAAAGTTGTTAAAAGCCTTGTTTCTTGCAGAGGGTCGTGTTTTTACATTCGCCCAGCTAGGCCTATAAAATGTCAGAAACGGGTCTGGTGATTTGTTTCGTGTTATTACTGTCTATTGGGTATCATTATTGTAAAAAGAGAGGCTATAGTAGTATATCGAAACTTGAATTTCAGTTTAGCTATTACAAATAGTGGACTACAAAAATTATATGTAAATTGTTGAAATTGAAACTATTTTGTTAGTGGATCCCATATAACACTACTCGGTTCAACATAGTGTATATTTTCTCAAGTTCTGTGTCATTTTTTCCGTTGTGTGAAACCATAAAGATTAAGTCTCAATCCTCTATTGTTAGTTTGTTAATACTTGAAGCTAACTTTTTAGGGTTTAACGTACTCTTTCTCATGTTCAAATCGATGTTGATATGTTATCACTTGAATCTTTTCGTTCTTGAGTCGTGGGTGTTAATACTTGAGACTGAGCCTGCAATCAATTTGTTTTTGAAAATGAAAAGATTTAAAAAAATAATCTTTTGTTTTATCAAATCGGAGTATATACATTGCCAAATGAAAGACTTTTTTCTATGAAATCTGTCACTAAAGAATGATTTGTCATATAACCGTCACAAAAGTTGGTGGGTTATTGATTTATTGTTGGTGGATATTTCAAATCAGTGACATATTACCCATGGATTTTTTGGATGATCTATTGGTATTTTCTCGAAAAACATAGGATTCTACCAAATTATTGATATATTATGGGTGATCCGTGGGTAATCACTGATAAAAATTTATCTGAATTATTTTTATGGGTAAAAATCATTTGTTTTATAGTGATAGAATCAAATTCTCTTACCAATGAATTTGAATAATTTTCTTTGGTAGAGACCAACATTTTTGACATGTAACCCTAATTTTGACTTGTTTATCATTTTTAATCTAATCATATTTTTAATTAATTAATTTTTATTCTTTATATTGTATATATTTACCCATTCACTTACCCAGTAAACGTTTAACAATAAAAACCAAAATTCAAACTTATTTTATTGGGTAAGATTATAGTCAATCAAAATTGTATCATATGCAACAATTCATTCAATAAGTGCTTACGGGATCTTCATCCTTACCATAGTTCTTATTGGATAAGATTTTCAATCGTAGTCATGTTTATTCGATAAGGTAAATACCCGATAAATACTTATCGGATAAACATTTACTAATATCATAATTTAAATCAGCCACTTAGGTAACGCCTTTAGGCCAACAAAACCTCGAACCACCCAAAACAATCGGAAACAGATATGGGTATTCACCAATTTATCAAGAGAATCAAAGAATCAACCTAAAACTAAATGGGGTAAAAATTTGGTTTAAAAAATACTACATTGACCGTGTATAGTCAAACATGGAGATGTCAGAGTGATTCCAAGAGATCCGAGAAATTATGACCCCTACATTTGGAAATGAAACGATTGGTTTTCATATTCCTAAAGCAAACCAATCCAAATTCACAACTCATAATCCAAGTTTATAAAAGAAAAGAAGATCCAATTTTCTGTATTACATGCTGTTTCCAAACAGTTAAGCATGGCAGCCACTTCAGCTTCAGCTTCAGCTTCATCTTCATCTAAAGTAAGCTTAAAGCTTTTGATCGACAAGAAAGCCAAGAAAGTTGTATTTGCCGAAGCTAACAAAGAATTTGTGGATTTCCTATTCCATATTCTTTCTCTGCCTGTTGGTACCGTTATCAGGCTTCTCAAGAATACTTCTATGGTGGGTTCACTGGGAAACCTCTACGATAGCATTGAAAACTTGAGTGATATTTATATGCAGCCAAATTCAAGCAAAGACTGTATTTTGAACCCTAAGATTGCCAACCATGGGGCTCAGCTCCCAATATTGCTACCTAATGATGATGGTTCGCTGTATAGGAAGTTTTACTCATGTTCCGACCATTTATTTGTGGCTGATAATCCCACTGCTGTGTGTCCAGACTGCAATGGTCTTATGAACAGCGAGTGTCCCTATGTGGCTGGTTCTGGTGCAGCAAAGTTGACGGCAGAAGGCGGTGGTTTTGTTAAGGGGGTGGTGACTTACATGGTTATGGATGATTTGGTGGTGATGCCTATGTCCACCATATCTAGCATCACCATGTTGAGCAGGTTCAATGTGACGGAAGTTGGTGGTCTTTAGGAAAAGGTGGTTTCTTTGGAAATGAAGGAGGTGTATATGCTTTTGTTGTTTGTATTTTACTGTTATAGTAGATGGAAATGTAGCCTGAATTTATCCACACCTTACTTAAATACATTTCTCTGTGATCTTTTGTAGGGTCTGATGTTGCTGAAGGCTTCGTTACAGTGCAATAATGTGCTAACCAGTGTTTTTCTGGCTTAATGGTGCTGTGCAGCCTGAATGAAGGTCATGAAACATATGGATTTTCTTTTTGTTACAAAAATGACTGATCTTAATGGGGCTTTTTGGAATTTGGAACCATTGTTTGCTTTTTGTTTCTTTCTTGAATCTTGTTCTTAATCCAGTTTATCTGATATGACTAATACACAAAGGCGTTTGGTATCATTAGACGAACCTGAACACACTTGGAAATTATACGATGTTTCAAGCCAAAGAGGCTCGTTTGTCTATTTTTATCATCACAACTTCGTCAATTTTGGAGGACGAGTTCATTTGTTTTTACCATCACATTTTCTAAAAGTTTAGATGATCAGACAATAAAACATATCATATCTAAAAGTTTTTGTAATAAGTTATGTTTTTAGAAGTCTTGACATTTTATCGGACGTTTGTAAATGAATATGTTATGAACAAATCTTTTCGGGGAGTTGGATTTATCATTGATAGTTAGAAATTCTTTTCTGCAAAGTTGGATGGTATGGTTTTGGTTAGCTTTTGCCTCTACCCATATGTATTGGTATTTGGTACTACTAAGTACGGAAACAGGGTGGGTAATGCATTCTTCGTTTCGATCCCGACAGATTTGGAGAATTCATTGGATATTTGTGTTTATTAAAAAACAATGTATTTTAAAATTAAAATTATAATGAATAGTCATTACATTAATTATCAATATTGAAAACAAATATATTTATTGTTGAATAATATATATATATATATATATATATATATATTATACATATTGAGAAAGATTCATTTGATAAGTGATAAATATTTAAGAAGTAAAGAAGTGATTCTAACTATTCATCGAGTCAACATTAGCGGCTTTGACTGTAAAACACTGAACTAGTTAACGAGTTCATATATGAACATATAGTTCATAAGTATTGAACAATTTATTTGGTTCATATATAAACCTACAAGTTTATATACGAATCATTTAATTAGTTCATATGTGATTCATACGGGTTCATATGTAGATCAGTGATAGTTCATCTATGAATCACAAGAATTCATATATAAATCAGTTAATTAGTTCATATGTGAATCACATAGGTTTATATATGACTTGTTTGTCGTTTATTTGTAAAAGTAATAAAACTACTCTCTCTGTTTTTTGCATAGCCGTAATTTTTTAGCAGTCAATGCTATAATTATTGATTAGTTAAAGCCGCAATTTATTAACCAGTCAAATCTGATTGACCAGGACTAGGATCATTTCTTTACTTGTCAAATATTTTTTTACTTCTCAAAATAACTTGTGTGTCTGTGTGTGTATATAAATAAAATAATCATGATCGAATTAAGGACGGGTAATCTGATCCCGACCTCGTCCTGACTAGTGATGGCCAACCGGTCTGGCTTGGGACCGCCGGAGGATCAGGACCGGCCAAAGACTGGTTATGGATTTGGTGTGTTTCGCGGGACCAATTAGGACCGGTTATGGACCGGCCCGGCCAGATTTTTAAAAAATGTTGCTTTTTTAATAAAAAAAAATATAGCCGTTATTTTTCAAAAAAACTATCCGTTTATCACCGTTTTTGGCTGCTTTTTTGTATTTTTTGCTTTCTAAACAAGTGTTTTGGTTGAGGGGTTTACATATCAAGTTCTTGATTTGCAGAAAACGTAAAAAAAAAGTTCATAATTTTTGGTTTCTCGCTATATTTGGTAAGACAATGTAATTTTACTTTTAATAAAACATATTTTTAAAGTGTATTTGAGTGACCTAATTACAAATTTTATAATGTATTAAAAATATATATCATTAATAAAAATAAAAAATATATATTATTTTTAATGACCGGGACCGGAACCGGCGACCTATAACCGGTTACAATAAAGTTTGACCGGACTTACTTTTTTTCGACCGGAACCGGTTATGACCAGATCTGTTGAAGACAGGACCAATAAGACCCGGCCCGGAACTGGTTTTTGACCATGATTGGTCCCGACCCCTATTCAAATATGAAAATAAGCAAAAGTCCCTGCTTCATTACCGGTCAAACCAAAGAGTCCCTGTCCCATTAAGATCGAGTATCAACAGGAACCTTCCAAGAGATAAAGTTTTAAGTTTCCATCTCTAGATCCTACTTACCTCACAAATTCAAACAAAAAATATAAATACTGTGATGGTTAATTAATATTGATATCAATTTTTATTATAAATAAATTTAACATTATTTTTTTATTTTCTTACAAATTTAATATTATATTTGATTTTCTTATAAATTTAGCATTAATATATTATTGAATATTAAAAAATACAAAATAAAATTTATGTTACAGTACGATAAAATAAATCTATTTTTATATATAGGGTGGAGTTTTGATGGAAAAATATAAAAAAGATCTTCTCATTTAGATTAATCTTAATTGAATGTCAACACTAATGAACTGTACCGAGATACACTGGATCAGTTCCTTTCTAAAGTGCAGTTCATGAATCGACATGAAATTAAAATTGATCAAGGATTCATATTTTTTCTCACGCTTCTCACCAAAATTTCTATCTCACACGATACTTCGCCTGTATGTATGTATGTATGTATGTATGTATGTGTAACATCCCAAATTTTCGAATACTTAAATATAACGAAACTAGTATCCCAAGATCAAATACTTACGTTGCAGCAGAAATAAAATTTCTAAACTTACAAATTCTATCACCATCTAAATTACAATCTTGATGAGCATAATTTTGCTCTATATAACAATGCCTTGATCTGCATATAACCTTCTTTGGAGCTAATCATTATCTCTCTTTATTGCACTTTTTTCTTTCCACTCAAAAGCCGCCTGGGTAAAAAAAAATTAAAAGAGTTTTGGGTGAGCCTTAGGCCCAGTGAATCCACCGTTTTCATGTATGAACAACAACTTTTATAATAAACAATTTTCACGAAGCTTCATAAATTAGCATGCGTTGATGAAAATAATACTTTTCACAAAGTAAAGATATTATAATGCGTGTCTACATCACAAAGCAACGGCGTCATAGGAGATGTCTACCTCACACAGCATTACCTGGCGAACTCACACAGCATATCCGCACTTACGGCTTAGACAAGCTCACAAAGCATACTCGTCTTTACAAAATCATATCGTAGTACATCCCCATTGACACACAAATACTCAAAACATATATTATAAAAATATCGAACTTTTCACGAATATATAGCATATCAAAAATCTCGAGAAACTTCAAACAACTTTTGGATAATAAGGCATGCAATCATTTTAAAAATAAATCACGTGTAACTCACAATACATGGCGTAGCCCAAACCGATCTTTGAAGTGGCTAGAGTCTCCCCGATTGGTGCCAAACTAACTACGATGTAGAGCACCGTCAACTCTCATTACAGCGTCCACCGTCGCTTTTTTCTCACAATAGTTCTCCTTCTTAACCCCAAACTACACATAAAACTACAAACTCCCATTTTATACTAAGCCCCATCGACGGTTTCACGAAATATGAAACGATAAGCCATAATAAATGGTCGTAGGTTTCATGACCTTTGGGTTTCTTGTCATTAAATCATATTCAATTTTTAGGGTCTAAACCCTTCACTTTGATAGATTTACACTACAAGTCCTTGAAATTCAACAACTAACAATTCCTTTCTCTTTTTTTTTTGTTATTACAAACTTTATCCCTTAACAAAATTTCGTCCTCGAAATTTGCCTATGCAAATAAATGATGAATCAATTGACTATATCATCAATACTTTGAGTTCATATTATTCTCACAGCTAAACATATTCTCTCCCCACTAAAGCAATCAATGGAAGTTTGTCATCAAAACTTTATCCACCAACACCACTCTAAATCTATTTGATCTCATCTTACCATAAGTTTTGCATAAAACACATCTCTATCAATGTCATTATATCCAACGATATTAAACCATCTAACGATTTCTCTGCTTCAATATGGTTTAAAACTAACCCCAAATTATCTTAAATCACTACTCTCATCACTATATATCAATCTTTAGCCACACATCTATTATTAATAATAAAATCTTCCATGCTGAGTTTAAGTTTAGGTTTCAGTAACCTAATTCACTTCGAATTGAGAATATTGTGTAGGCTTATGTCATGGCATAGACCATATAAGTCATGGAGAAATCATCATTACTTTCATATAGAGTGGATTACTTTTCGGGGGTGGCTAATGGCATCCAGCTTTTACTTTATGGCATCCCTAATTTTAATCGTTTCACTTTTTGTTATTTTTTTATTTTTTTTGTTTTTTTATTGTCTTTTTTTTATACTAATATTTCTAATTATCTTATTATAAATATATTATATATTTTCTTTTCTCTTTTAATATATTTTTTTAAAAACCTTACTTTTTTATTTTTAAGACATGTATATATATATATATATATATATATATATATATATACTAGAAGCGTACTCGCGCAATACAGCGAGATACATCGT